CACAATGCGACGAAACATTAATTCCTTTACTTCAAAACTGTCGGCAAAACACAACACAATTGGGAGCCATCTAACTACCCGCGACTTAGCCGATTAACCTTTCTGGCACAGCGTAGCTAAGGGTCACTGTATCTCTGTCTTTTCAAGGCACACTAGAAGAAATTGATTTTGAAATACTGTAGAATACTTTATTTTCGCCATTTTCGCTGAAGAATGATTCCGTGAAAATAAAATCCAGCGAATATACTTTTTTCCCTATATTTCATATTAAACTCATCAAAAATCAGTGAAAATAAATTCCATACAAAACGCCCAAAAAGCCCTTTCAGCAAAAATTAATTCCAGCAAAAATAAAGTAGTCCACAGTAGCTAAGTATTGACTGACAATGTGGAAGAGACAAACATAAAGCATCAGACTGTTATCTGCCGCAATGTGAATAAAAATAATAACAAGTTTCTAATTGTAAGTGTTGATATATTTCAGTAGTTTGGACATTAACATAAGAGATTGTTTATCATTAACATTTCATCGCCAAATTTGTAATGATGCATGAAAATTGCAATAAGAATTACTACAGAAATTATACAGACCAGAAACAAACAAACATGAGTGAACCTGAAACATTGGACATGTACATGTGATGTAAAAAACAACACGCAAAAGGGCAACATACAAAAGGGAAATGTACACAAAGGCACCAGTATGTTAAAATGCAAACTGAAAAAGTATATGGGTTTGTATTTTTTGCACGAAGATACTTTTGGAGGGGTTAATAGCACTAATTACAAATATTTCCCATGCATCAGTTTTAATGACGAACAGCCCCTAATACTTATTAAATTAAAATGCATACAGTTTGCAGCCATACTATTACATATGACTTATTCTGTCATAATTGTTGGAATAATTTACTATAAAATTATCCATTTTCAGATTGTAGATGTGTTCCAAGTGCTAGTAGCAGCAAACAAAGCAATTCATCTTAATCACTATGGAAAGATGAAAACAAGAAATATTAATTCAGAAATATTATTCAATTTATCTCCAACAAATAATGTAAGTCAAAATCTGCAGTTCTAAATCCATGGGCTCAATCCTATTGACAAATTTGTTTGTCCTTTAATAAATCACTGTATACTTTAAAAGTAAATTGTCAATATTGACTAAAACGACATCTTTATTATGTGATCTGATAAAAAAAACGTCTGACAAGTGGCCATTTTGTTTTTACATTGTGCCCATGTGTAATTTATATCAACATTGATTCCACAAGTGCTGAATTGTTCTAAGTGCTTTTTTTTTCCCTGCAATTTAATCAAATTTGGCAATTTTTTTTTCAATTATATCTAGGGCCATCAATGAATCCTATAGTCAGCTTTATCTTAGTAATTTCATGATAGTAGCGCTAATATTCCATATGTCAAAGACATTCAATTCTTGACAAAACAGTTACCGGTATATAATATACATGTATTTTGATGTTGCCATATTAATCCTGTCTGATTATTCCTTTCTTCACAGATTACAGATTCTTTTAAGAAGTTTGGTATAAATGAAGATGACAACACAATTCTAGTTGCAGTAATTGATGATAATAATGGTGAGAAGTTACGCGATATAACACAATGTATAGATGGAACTAGGATGGAATTAAATGAACTTCAAATTTGTACAGATATAGGAAAAATTAAAAAGGTATGTGTACTGGTAATAAAGGAATTTTAGGATTAGGGATAATTTCATGCACACAATGAAAGTTTCATTTGATACAGCTTTGTACATACTATGCAAATCTGCCAATAAATAATGATGTGACAACAACACGGCGCTGAAGTCCATCAAGCTGAGTGGTACTTTCTAATTATACCAGCATCTAAGAAAATGTACATGCATTGTTTTAAAGTAGTTTTGTTTTCTTCTCACATGCCTGTTACGTCTAGAGTAAATTTCTTTTTTAAATTTCCTTGATATGAATGATTTCCGTGTTGTGTTTTGTATGAAATGGTTAGAATGCAATTTTTTTTTGAACATCACAAATTAAGGATCTTTTTTAGAATAAATTAGTAGCGGTATAGCAGCATGCTACATATAATATAGGGACTTATGAATTAATTGACCCAGTGCTGCAGTGCATAAGATCATCAAACTTCATACACACATCATGCTTCTTGGGATACATAAGCATGTCCATTTTGTTTTACAATCCAATATAGAATGGCAGCTAGTTTTTTATTTCTAATTTTAATAACTATGATCCATACTAGTATATTACTGGCAAAATTTATTAAAAACAGCAGCACCTCCTCCCAAATTAACTTTATTTTTTTTAAACTGTCCCTTTGCTCATTACCTCGTTGTATCTTGAATTTTGTATTTTTTTTTTAATAATTGCTTGTATATTATTGTGAATTCATATTTATTTTGTTATGTAACCATTTTAAATTAATTCCTTTTGAGGACTTTTAAGCTTTCTCAATAAATTGAGATTAAAATTGAAAACTAATTGTTAGAGGGCAAACTGATCCTGCACTATCGTTTAAAACCATTTTAAGGGTTGCTGTGCTTTATTTTTGTCAAGTTCTGTATGTTTGTCATGTGCTTGCCTGAATTGAAATCCGATTAATTCAAATTTCCCAGAGGATGTCTTTGACCATTTAGCATTTTCTGAAACGAGGAAATGGACAATATTGATTGTTTTTATAATTGACTCACATTAACTACATTTACAAGTCCATATGACAATTACTGTGTTTATACAAATCACAATCATTGTTGATATAGCTTAATGGTTTTCCATTTCCAGGTTTACAAAATTCAAGATACAGAGTTGAAGCAGAGTTCGCTTCTGGATGCGGTAGTTTGTAGAATGGCCACCAAAGATGCATCATAACTAAGGTTTCCATGCTCGATGTAGTAGATGTATCATACCTAAGGTTTCTGTTCTCATGAAAGTAATTATCATATCATCATCTCGATGGTGAATCACAACCCAGCCCAAAGAGACAAATTGGAAACTCTGTCTGAAATCGTATAAATATCACTATGATAGATGCTGTCTAATTGTAGAAAGTACTTCAGGTTATTCAACAGCTGAATTTATTTATGTCATTAATTCTACAGCAGCCTGAGGCCGTTTTACTCAATCGAAACCGACATATATCCTGATTGATTCTCTGCCAAGATGACCTATTGAGGAAAGACCAATTATTTTCCCCTCATCAATTCCTGCTGTTAAGTTCAGAACTCTCAACTGTGTTTTTTTTTAATGCACAACTTGGCAACTTAAAATTGTTGACATACAGGTGTTGAGAGTAATTGTAATGCATTGCAACGGTAAAACACTTAATTTAGCCTGTCTTGCTTTATTTCGCATGAGATGAGTAAGCACTTTCGATTTTTAACAAAATTTACCTACAGTTGTTGAACAAAGCATTACCCATAATGCTTTGCAAGAAGTGTTCTTAATACGTTTCCAATACAATATATATGAATCATATTTGCAAAAAGCAGATTTATTTATTTTGTTATGTGCTATATATATGCCTGAATTGTATTTTTTTTAAATAAAAAAAAAATTTTTGGGGGGGGGGGGGCATACTGGTATCAATTTTTTTCAGAAATGTTCGCTAGGTGTAAAATGAGCCACACTGTTGAGAAAATAAACAAATTGCAGCTACAGTTGGATATGCAGATCAAATGATGTGTCTTTTCTTCATGGGGTGTACATTTTACAGATATACCTCTGAGGTTAGAATCAAAGTTTGCAATTTATCTGAGTTTGAGACTGGAAGCTGATTTAATAATTGAATTTGTCTAGTGTACTGAATCAAATGAAATGAACAAGAGCAGTGAGGTCATCATAATTACATAAATTAATACTATGTGTATTAATGTCAACCTCATTTATAGTATATTGTAACATGAATTGTATAAAAGTTCCCAAATAGTACAGCAAAATTTGGTGCGAAAAATACTGACTAATAATCCTGGCAGAAAAAAGTACTTCATACTACACTTTAGAGAGTACATCTGGTTCTCATGATCAGTAGTAAAGAAGTCCTCATTCTGTCCACTTACTAGTATTTTGATGTCTTACAAAATTTGTATTTCAAAAATTTTACATTCCGTTGATATTTTATAGTGGTTTGAGTTATTGTAACAAAACAAAGACAATTTCTCAAATATCTCAAAAAATAAACATAAAACACATGCCAAAATTTGGTCATACTGGTTATTAAAATATCCAAGTTTAAAGAAGATCAGACAAAAACAGTTTGAGTTATTGCAATCACAAGAAATATTTTATGCTGGAGACGATACATTTTAGTTCATCCATCATTTTGGTATGGTAATACAGTCTGAAGAGGGGACAACATGTGTATTTTCATAACACATCGAAATGAGTCGTGTTTTTTGTTGAACTCATGAGGTTTAAACGTTATTTATTTGAAAAAAAACAACACAATATCTACAGCAACATGTACATTTTTTTTATACAAAACCTCATTTATTATTATTGAGAAATGAATGCATTTCAGTTTATTTCAACAAAAATCACTTTTATACTCCTTGTCATTATATTCTGTATGTGTTCTACTTTGACACAGCATGATTGATATATCCCCAATGTGGGATGTACATATGTGTGAAGCCTTTTGGGGTTCACAATTAATCAATTACGTGTGCAATGTATTTGTATCAAGAGACATTACGATTAAGGAAATAGCTTTACATTCATGCATACTCTGTTTATCTTACACTGGAGTGGAATAGAACTCTATCTACACATACTTGAATACCTGTATTAGTGGCAATAAATTATGAAAACACTGATGCTTGTGATGAGTATCTTGCACTTTGTCATTATGAATAAAATCAATCTAACACAGTGGTACAAGTA